ATTCCCAGTTCCTCTCTCCCCCAAAATCGATTGTTGGTGGCTACGGTTATTTCTCTCACTTATACCAAGTCCATTCTATCCCCCGTTTTCTCTCCACAAATCTCTCTCTTACTCTCCCCGTTTCCTGCTCTATCTGGAGTTGCAACCGTTGTTCTTTTGCTGCCCTCCTCTTCTTCTGTCCACCTAATTCGCTTGATCTCAGTCTCAGTCAACCTCTACTTGATCTGGGAAGAGGTTGCTGTCTTGGGTTGGCTCCTGGTGAGGATTCGAAACTCAATTCTCTTCAATTTGGTGTCAATTTGATCAGTTTTCGTGAGGAACAATTGTGATTAAGTGATTCTGTTTCTGGGTTAATTCCTTTTCTCCCCTTGATTGATCTTAGGAATTGTGGGTTTGAGGGCATTAAAGGGGTTTTGCTTTTTGGGTGGGGTTCTTGCTTGTAGAATTAGGAAAGGTGTAATTTTGGGATAGATTCGTATGCGTAGATCTTCTGTTTTATGATGCGTATGCCTTTTCACCTTTTTATTATTTTATTGTGATTAAAAATAATGGAAAGGGGAGACAAGGGAAGATTCTCGTTTTATGGGTATATATGGGAAAAGGTTGCTTTTTCATAAGTTGCTTTTCATCTACGTTCTGAGGTGGAAGCTTTAGAAATCCAATTTTGTTTTTTCTTTGTTGCTGGATTCTGCTTTCTGCTATTATTAAATGCAATTTATGAGCTTTTTGAGTGAATTTTTGGATTGATCTGTTGATTAGACTCTTAGGTTTAAAAGGGTTTGTGACCATTTTGCTCATAAGTTGCAGTTCAAGTGATTTGAAGGTATCCAAGAGTCTGCTTGGAGAGGGGGGAATCAGGGGATTAAGCATAATTAGGATTTGAATTTCCATGGATTTTTGAAGATTTTCCAATTGATCCCAACTGAGGAGAGTATTATTTGTTGGACTGATCTGCCCATCAGGCGGTGAGCTGAAACGTTTCCCAGGGTTTTCACCAAAAAGTTCTGACGGATCCGTCTACTGAAAACCGGGGTTGTGACTGTGTGGGTGGTCTGGAGTGCCTATTAAACATTGTCAGGGCCCTCAGAATGGGGTCCTGCTTATCTGCAGAAAGCAGGAGCCCTCGAGCTGGTTCTTCATCTTCTCCTTCTCTGGGGATCAAGAAGAGGAGGAACCCCAATAGGAAAATGGGGTCGCGGGGTTCTTTTGACTACTGGAGGGATGAGCGATTGTACAGGATTCCGGGGAGGTTGTTTCTGAATGGGTCTAGTGACATTGCTTCACTTTTTACCCAACAAGGCAAGAAAGGAGCCAACCAGGATGCCATGATTGTTTGGGAGGTTAGCTCTTTTGGCAATTTACATGTTCTCCAAAATTTTCATGGGCTTTATGTTACTATCAAATTGGTCAAATAGTTATTGTTTGTTAGGTTGAAAGCTATTTTCATGGGGATGGCTTTGAAAACAAGCAATTTAAATAAATAAATATGTTCCTTGAATGAATGGGTATGCTCTTTCTAGTTGTTTAACTACCATGGTTTCAACTATATAAATTATTAATACCTTTTGATGAGCATAACCAATTAGCAAGTTTATTTTCATAATTCTCCTTTTTGCGAAACTTAAGTTTGTCGTTACTTTCATTTTTTATTTATTTATTTTTAATATTCAACCTTTGCTCTCTCTTTTTAATTTTTTTTTAATGCATTTATATTTGGCTATAGGACAATCTGCCTTTTAGTTTGAGAAAAAGCAGCATTGAAATATTAATCAATTGCAGTATCTATAAATTCTCTTCAGAAGTTATCCATTATTTATGTAACAAATCATGCTTCTGTGGGGCAGAGTTGTGTTTTTAATTTGATTTTGTCAATTCAGTCTGTATTTGAGGAACCTTATATTTTGCCATATTTTTTAAGAAACAGCTTTTTTTCAAAAAAAAATTTCCTTTTTTTTTTTTTCTCCATTTGGTATGAGAATGAATGTATCATTTTACTTGCCATATGTATTTTGGTCAGTTGGTCTTTTTTCCACCCAAAAATTTCCTTTAGATTGCTTATTACTATTTACTTGTCTTGTCCTAAGAGTTTATTTATTCCTAGAAAACATTGACTGCTCTATTTTGTTGTTAGTTGTTCTGATGTCTTAGTTCCATAACTTGTCTCTGGGATAATTTGTGGAAAACCTGTATTAGTAAAAGTTCCTCTTGATATATGTGATTCAAACCTGACATTATTATCCAAAGAAGACAGAGAGAGAGAGAAAAAAAAAAGGGAAACTTGTAATGTCATGCTTGCTTTTCAGGATTGGATCCTTGATTCTTCACAATTCTTGCCAAAGACCAGGACATCGATCATGAACTTTATCCACTCCATTTCAAATCATATGTTAAAGGGTCTTCTAAGTTTTGCTTTGCCACATATACCAATATCTCCTTGTATTAAGTCTTTCTTCATTGGATTGTTTTTCTTCTTATGATAAACAGCCTTTACTCTACTTTTCAGAATTTTGGCTCAAGAACAGATACGATTTTCTGTGGTGTTTTTGATGGCCATGGGCCCTTAGGTCACATGGTTGCAAAGAGAGTGAGAGATTCGCTTCCCTTAAAGCTGAGTGCACAGTGGGAAGTCAATGTAAGCAGTGAGATCAATCTGAATAATGCAGGAACCATAAACTCTGAAGATTCTCCTATTATATCAGCTGATGAGGAATCTAGGGCATCTGTTGATCTTGAGGATACTGAAAAGCCCCCTGAGATTTTTCAGACACTGAAAGAGTCTTTTCTGAAGGCTTTCAGAGTGATGGACAGGGAGCTCAGAGTGCATGCAAACATTGATTGTTTCTGTAGTGGGACAACAGCTGTGACTTTGATCAAGCATGTATTCACCTCCAACCATTCGAAACAATATTTGTATAAGATATTATAACTTTTATAATGTCTTGTTGATCGTAGGTCTCTTGGCTCTTTGTAGGGTCAATATCTTGTCATTGGAAATGTTGGGGACTCCAGAGCTGTAATGGGTACAAGGGATGAAGACAATTCCCTTATTGCAGTTCAATTGACTGTTGATCTGAAACCAAACCTTCCAGGTTATACTCTTTCTCTCTCACCACTTCTTTACGCATTTAAGCGTTTCCTGTCAAATGTCCTTTGAGTTTCACTCCAAACGTTATTGAAGGCAATACCAATGGCATTTTAAAATTTTGAATTTGAGATCCATCCTCACTTATCCTCATGAATCATGATTGGATGTAGTTTAGAGGGAGCATTGTTGAGGACCAAAAATTATTTTTGTCCAACTGGTATGGCAGACTGGCAACTCCCAACCTTCTTGTATCATAATGGTTGTGATTGAGCTACGTTCTCAGTTTGAATTTATATAACTACTATATTCATAATTTATATTAGCTTTGTAGGTTCGATGCAGCTCATATGGGCTAAGGAATCTTGAAAGTAATATAAAATTGCAAGAATTTGTGTGACTATTGGATTGGGATATCATGAGTAGTGGTTGAGGGTGTTTGGTTAAAGAAGGTGAAAGCACCATTATGTTTTTGGCCCAGAGTACGATGTCTGTAATTTATTTGCACACTTGGTTGTCTAGCTAGTAGTCCGGCTAGTAAGTACTGAATGTTATTGTGGGAGAGTATCTTGAAATTATTGGTATATGGAATGCATTTCTCTCTACAAAGTTAATTGGCAAAGAACAATCTTTAGAGTAATTTTAAACCATCCATCATGATGATAGGATGGAGTCTAGTGATTCAACCATCTGTTAATTGGGTTTTTACCTGTGCAAGTTTCGTTGATTTGTCCTTGCTCTTGATAGTAAATAGGGCTTTTACTCCTTGTTAACCATTCTTATGATTAATTAATACAAGTGTAACGAAGATTCCTATTTTCTCTCCATTTACAGCGGAAGCAGAAAGAATCCGGAGATGTAGAGGTCGGGTGTTTGCTCTTCAGGATGAACCCGAGGTTGCCCGAGTTTGGCTTCCAAACACTGACTCACCTGGTCTTGCTATGGCACGAGCTTTTGGAGATTTTTGTCTGAAAGATTTTGGCCTGATTTCAGTGCCTGAAATATCTTATCGACAGCTGACAGACAAGGATGAATTTGTTGTCTTGGCTACAGATGGAGTAAGAAAGCCAACTTCAACCTTTGCTCCCAAATGCATTATCAAACAATATTTATTCATTCCCTTGATCCAATCTTTTCTAGATTTGGGATGTTCTCTCAAACAAGGAAGTAGTAGACATTGTAGCTGCAGCACCAGCACGATCCTCAGCAGCTCGAGCCTTGGTGGAGTCAGCAATTAGAGCTTGGAGATACAAGTACCCAACTTCAAAAATTGACGACTGTGCTGTCGTCTGCCTCTTCCTGGATTCTGAGTTGATCAATGTATCCACTGCTTCCAATTCCAAGCCTAACTTAGACCAAGTCGAGAATGGCTTGACTGGTCCAATCAGTCTGGACCGCTCAGGAACCATCCGAACTGATAAGGAAATGCCTGCAGAAGAAACTGAAGATTCCAGAAATCAGGAAGAATTCAACTCAGAATTAGGAACCGACTGGTCCGCCCTCGAAGGAGTTTCCCGTGTCAATACCCTCTTAAATCTGCCTAGGTTTGTGCCAGGAAAAACTGGATAACAAGGCTGCTGGCAGTGACCAAGGCAAGAAACTTGGTTACTATTTTACATCTTACTTTTGTTGTTTCCATCATCTCTTATATATTTCTTTTGGTTAATGTTAAATTTGGACCGGAGAGGTGGCCCCGGCTGTATTAGTGTGTCTGGGAAAATTGTCCTTTCTCTCTAGTGTGGGTAGAATTGGAGTTTTTGTAAAATCCAGCTCTCCTGTCTATTTCTCTTATTTTTGCTTTTTTTGAAAATTCCAGGTGTGATTTATTGGGTAATTGTATGTTAATAATTTTGTGACAATGAAATGAAATGATCTTCTGTTGAGATGAAGATGAGGGTTTATTTTCTCTTTAATAATGTTCGAATATAAATCTGAAACATTTAATTCGGATTTGCAATCTGGTGGTTGACATTCTGAGCAATTTTTTTTCAATTTGTGATGTTATACTAACCCACGTTTTCAATGCTGCTGTTGATACGTCTGGGTCCAAAACCTTGATGTTACATTGATTTTTGTCGATATTTGAAGTCAAATATGGTTGTTTGTTTTTAATTTACGGTTAGAGTATTTTCGAGTTAAGTTTTATATATTTTAAAATAAAATTTTTAAAATAAATTTAAAAGTATATTTCTTATATTATTTTGATATATTTAAAAAATTAATTTTTTAAATATTAATTTCAAAATTTAAAACCTAAATTTTACTTAAAAAAACAATACTTATTAGTTAATTGAACCCTTCAAGTTATCAAATATTGTTTTCTTAGTCCCCTGTTTTTGAATACGAAACTTATAAATAGTATTAATATTTATGAGATATTTTATAAATATTGATAGAGAATCATTTAATATGAGAATTCATCTATTAATTAATGACTATAATATATGTAGTTTTTACGGATATATTGAATGTTATTTTTGTGAATATTTATTCTGTACAAAAATAAACAAAACCTGTACTTCAATTGTTCAATTGAGAGTCAATTTTCTATGAGGTTTCTTCTAATCTTGGATATAAGTTAATGAATAATTATATTTTTTTTATTAGTTGTTATAAAAAATAAAAATTGATTTCATATCAAACAGTTTGCTCCAGTCCAGTGTCATGAATCTTGAGTTAAGGTCGTCCAATTCTTGTTGGTGGTAATTTGAATCTCATGGAACTTCTTTTCTTTCCCCCAATTAACATACGTAGTTAAAAAAAATTGATTTCATATTTATTAATTATTTATATATTTTGATGTT